GTTTGTAATTAAAACAATAACTTGTGTTACACTTAAATTAAATTCTCAGACCCGTTTTATCTTCACTATGCATATATGACTCATACATATTGATATTTTATTATCCTTTTCACTTAATTGAGACTTTCATAGCATCACTCCAAACTATTGACTGCACAAACATTTATTCTAGCGTCATATCTTACTGCAATTATAAGTTATTTTTTCTTACTAATTTGACGATACACACATAGTCGTTTATTCTTGTTCTGTGTTCGTAAACACGCCTATTAAACTGTTTGCGTATTTCACGTCTCCTTTATTTCTATTCCCTTATTTTCTGCATTTCCTTCTTTAGACTCAATTCAATATTCTTCTCAATTGCACAGACCCGATTTATTATTATTAATATTCTACTATTATTGCTCAAAATTTTTTTTTAAATGGCAGTAGAATGCTGACATTATTGAAAATTGTGTATTATTGCATTTTTTTGAAGAAACCCGAAATGGTTTCTTCACAACACTTATGTACCCATAAGATGTTTGTGAATAATAATAATAATAATGATAATAATAATAATAAATCTTGTCAGCGGGGTCATTATGTAACGTAATCATTTTCATACCAGACGTATTAATCTACCCCTGACTCATATGTGTTCTTCAGAAGTGCCAAGCATCATAAAACTGATTGTCATGACAGAAGAAAACGGTCCAGACGTTTCACGTGAGATCTTTTAGATTAGGTAGTCACACCATGACAAATCTACACTTTGGAGATTATGTCTATTATTATAGTAGTACTGATGCCGAATAAGACCATAATTATACAGTCACATCATGAAAACCTACAATTTTGAGCTTACGTCTATTATTACAGTAGCAGATATAAATGTACTAATATCGACCAGACCATAATTCCACAGACGTACTAGGTGGGTTAAAAAATTCAGGAACGAACAAAATGCTCGTGGTATGTGGGTTACCACATCAAGTAATAAATACTTGTAACCCGTTACCCGAAAAAGTCATTCCTTCCCCTATGATTGACTCATTCAATAGAAGACTAGACAATCTCAGAAGTAACATACACTGTATGTCCTCTGTGCTCAATGCAATAGTATGAATCTGAAATTAGCAAACCTGGACTTGAAAGCCATCCCAAAACATTTGAGTGTTCTTGCTTATTCAATAGTGGACATAAGAATACTGTCTGGTATGCCACGTTCTGAGCTCAATCTCATCAGAAACATCCCTAGAAAATGTCGAGAGAGGTTTATTTTCGTAAGAAATATCATTCTGCAAGGTTTCTCAGAAAATGGACTATGGTATTCTAGAGTAGAAATACACGAGACAGTCCTTCAAACTCAAGAATATAATTAATCAACAAGTAGTGCGGTTAGCGTAGAAGGATGGAAGTTTGTGGTGGTTGAATTAACTAATGATTCTTTTGTACTTGTTGAATGCTTGATTTCGAATTCTAAATACAATACATTCGTTCGTGCTTGTCTAGTACTTCTTGACTCAATTGCGTTATTGCTGGGATTCCTAGTTCATACTATAACTCAAATAATTCGAAACATTATAAAGTTCTAGACCCAAGCTTATAAAGATAACCTTCCCACACCTTCAAATGAAGGCTACCACTGTCGAACCATTTTCTGTCAACAGATGTCGGCTATCAACTGGAATACACATCCACACACATAGAATGAACTGGGGCTACCAACTCGGAAAACCATATGAAAGTAGGCTGCCTGCTCATTCACATAAAGACGAGGAAGCTCACGCGTTTTATATTGAAAGCATAAGATGCCAATGTACGAACATTGAGAGTTTACTGAGCACAATGGCTGACTTGCATGAACTAGATAGGGCCGATAATATTCATCCAACAGGAATATCTGAAGCTTGAACAGCTCAAATTACGGGTCAGAAGCTGTCAGTTCTCGGCATGTCTTTGTTTTGCAACAGCATAAAAACAGGAATATAGGGTGAAGCAGCTCTGTATCTACAATCTTGCTTGGTAGCACATCAATTGTATATTTGAGAGTTTATTTATCTTGGTCAGTCTGTATTGTGTCTGTAAGACTATCTAACAGCTCGAGGTGTTTAGTCATCTTCATGGAACCCACCGCTGATCCCGAGTATGATAATTGTATTCAGGGTTATCCCTCTCTACATGTCTCGGATACACTAATATCCTGATACTAAAAGACTTCAGTTGTCCTAAAGTAAACTTTTCCGAACACATGTACATTGGAGGTGACAAATACACTGAGGTCCAGTTCATCGACCTTATCAAAGATCTGGGATTATTCAAAAACGTGAAACTAGCAAATCGTTCAAGGAGTAGTCAGACGCCGTCAAGCTTGTATTGCATCTTTACAAACAAATAATTCTTAATTGACAATCTCACAATTACAGTTCTCCTGAGTGAAAATTATCACAGCCTTCAACTTTATCAACGAAGGTGAGCTAAAACATCCTACTAACAACAGGCGTTGGAATTACAAACAGTTGGATGCGTCGGCCTTACAGGCCAATCTACAGAATGTGAACTGTGGATCCAACCCTTAACTTCATGTGGACGCTCAGCAGAACTTCCTGCTGCACATGGCCTTATATGCTGCCGAACAGTCTGTTTCGCAGATGGTTCCAAAAATTATAAGGAAGCCGCAGTCATCAGGAATCAGACATTTTGATCGCTAAGATGAAAAACGCACTACTGGGAGGAACGTAAGCCATCTAGTGACAACAGCTCGTATAAGCAGTTCAAACAAGCAAGTAATCAGTGCACAAAGGTGATAATAAAAGAAAGGCTCGTCTTTAACATTTCAAGGTGTAAAGTAGTCCATGTGAGACATGCTGCAGATGGCGAAAACAACCTGGGTAACTCCTCTCCAGAGGTAGCCTATGACGAAAACGTTCAGGAGTTTTGGTACTTAATGACCTGAAGTCCTACTCCTACTGCGACAAAAATTTCCCTCTAGCAAACCTTATATTGTTCGACGGTAGAAATTTCCACTTCTTCAACAGTTTTATTCGACCTCATTTAAATTGTGGAAACATAGTGTTTTTGAGATGGTGGAGAAGATTTGTAGCTCAGGTGGATGATTTTGGTGAAGTTTTGTTCCCTAAGCTGGAACAAAACTCCACCAAAAAACATAGTGTTTTCCCTATCACTCACAAAAGATTAAGATACATTGGAGCGTATGAAGCGGGGAGCCATGAAATATGTTTGGGGACTCAATTTCAAGCCTTATGAAATGCACCTCAAATCACTGTACCTTTACGCATTGGAGTATAATCGCCTTTAAGTTGACTTTCTAATGACTTTGGAGATGGCACAGGTATTCAGTGTTTGACAACGCTTTTACCAGTAACACCTAATATAACTCGTATCCACCAAGAGAAATCAAAAGACAGAATCGAGGAGATAAGATGTTGTATTTGACGATTGTCAATATATCAGAATTGTCTGATCTAGTCTGGCTAGCGATTGCAGTAGATGTTGAGTACGGCGTTGCCACACGTGATCTGGTGCGGATTCATGGCCGAGCGCCTTCAGCTAGGTGAGTCCGTTAAAACATATGGTCAGCATCAACTGTCGAAAACTTACAGAGCTATTTATTTTGGGGATTTATTTACCGCTACAACTTACAGTATCATAAACACTTCTGGACTACCCTTTAAATATCCACCTCAGCTCAGCCCCAGTACAAAGCTTAGGGGTAACACTCAGAAACTGGAAACACAACACAGCGGAACAGACTTTAGGCATATTCTATACTCTTATGGAGTAGTTGAGCGCTAGAATTCTCTGCCAGCTTAGCCAGTTCAAGTGACATCCTAGGAGTCTTTCACGAAAAGACATGACATATTCTTAAGGACTAAGGACAGTACCTCTCTATAATTTACTAATAATTTTTCTTTTATCGTCAAATGTACCTAGGTTCCTACCTGGCAACGTCGGTTGTCCATTGATACCAGCTACGGAGGCCTGTTGTGTGAAAGTTTCTTCTATTCCGCCCTGAACCAAATGAATCGCTATTCCAACTATTGTCGATCTGCACTAATAAGGACTAGACAAGCATGAGATTGATCACCACCCAGTGATCAATCAATTGTGATTACATCTCAGTCCTATAGGAGGTTAGTCACGGCTCGGATAGCTCAGTGGTAACGTCTCTGACTGTGAAGCTGGGTGACACGAGATCGAATCCGCCAGGGAGCACCAGTTCCCTCAAGATTACAGGTACACCTTGCTGACGAGTGCCAAGTAGCACGAAACCCGGGTCCAGGGTTTCCTGTTGACTACCTCCAACCACCATCTAATCTCAATACATAGTGCCCGCAGTGTCGAGTCACCTAGACTGGTGGCCACATTGCAACATGATCGATAGCATTCGATCTGCACTAATAAGGACTAGACAAGCATGAGATTGATCACCACCCAGTGATCAATCAATTGTGATATTGTCTTTTCCCTCTAATTTCCGACGAATTAAAACAGTAGTACAGCTGTAAATATCCCCTGAAACCCATCTCTAGCTTCAAAAAAGCTAATAATACGTTACTTCTAAAAAGTTGAGTTTGAAGTTTGAAATCTAACAACTTTTCCTATCTTAAGTTACTTGTACTCTAGGGCGGTTTTCTTACGGCGCTTCTCTTGACCTTAGTCCGTCTCGAGGGATTAATGATTTGTCAAAACATCTAATTCAGGATACATGCGTGAATTTCTATAAACGAACACTGTTGTATAATCACTAAAAGTGATAAAATTAGTCCTATAAATATAAATATAAATTATGAGTCTCTTTACAAGTCCACCTCCAGTTGTAAAGCGACTTATAAGTTACATCAAAGAAGGTTCAGACAAAGAAGAAAAGTGGAAGGAAAAGGCTGTTAAATCATTAGTCAAGAGATTAAAAAACGGAACACAATTGGACGAGTTAGAACGTGCTTTGGTTAGCCAAGATCCATCTACACGCTGTGTTACAATACCTCGTTCATTGGATGGACGGCTACAGGTAAGTTCATGTGCGTTGGGCTGTTTGGATATCAAATTTAAAATAATCGGCAAGACGTTTTCTGAAGGTCAATTTCACTGTAAAAATAATAAACGTTTTGACGGCTATAGTGTCCTGTCAAGGGGCCTCAATTAACAAATCAGTGAACTAAAGCTGTTCATTATTTTGGTTTTCCTCCTCAAGCCTCCACGTAGCTTAAAACATCTTAATACAAAAGCATAGCTTGGAACGTCAATAAAAAAAGCTTTGAAGAAAACATTGTAAAGTGGAGTTTTTAACCATAAAGTCGCAATGTCTGTTCCTTTGGAAGAATTAGAAAACCATGCTGGAATATAGACCACATCTGCATAGAACTGTTGTTCAGTTATTTAGTTACTGTCAAATCAGTCATTTTGATGTATCATATAATGACAGTAGTTTTGCTCAAATTTTCCTTAATCACTCCCAGCTGAATGTAAATGTTATAATTCTATATAATGTCTTATTTATTGCTCCAGTTTACCATAAGATAGTAAAGTATTTATAAAAGTGACAGTGATTAGATAAAAACGTCGAATTCCACGTGGTTTTTACCTGATAGCCTTAAAAAGATGAGACTCAGGCTTTGTAGATTATAAAACGTACGAATAAAGTCTATTGACAGGCTTTTCTACGTCATGTATTAAATAATTGATACTTAGCATGCTTGAGGACTAATTATCTCGGCATAATTAGTCTAACAGTCATTAGAATTAGTGTACCAACCCACTTGATACTCGATTACGTGACAATTTGTTGGCCGGATTGGTTCCCGAAAACACCCAGGCACACGAGTAACATTTGCTACAACAAAATCATATACGGGTCTGCAGTGAAATACTTTTGATCAGCAGGACAAAGAGACAGCAATATGAAATGCGGCGGACAGTTATCAGTCCAGCGAGGAGTAGTGCGACAATCTAGGAAAACTATCCGGAAAATGTCTGTCCTTCACTTTATAATCGATGAAACATGCATGCTACTTAAAGTTCCAACCTCATCCAGAAAACTCCCGCCTCCCGAAATTTTTCACAACAGCATCTTGATACCCCCCTAGCTCGTCATGTTTTGTCACCTCCAGACTTCCTGACCTATTCTTGACACAATAACACGTTAATGTAAGCGATAACCGGGTATGATTTAATCATGTACTTATCACCTCGCTCACTGTGTTATCAAAATCTCGATTGGTTTGTAATTTCTACCTACTTTTCAGTTCCAGAGATTGTATTTACAGTGATAAATTAATTAAAAACGGCCTAATACACCTATGTTGAGTTTAATTATCTCTGTAATTAATGTGACATATCCTTAATCAAGCGGATCTATGTGTCAAGGTTTTGTCACCTAACGGCGCCGATATGACTCATAAGATAATTAAATTGGTCAAGGCGCTCAGCTGCATATAGATTTGGCATTAGTGTAGACCCTTCCTGAAACTCATATAGAACAGTACTTGCTTGTCACTCATCGCGTCTGAAAAAAATTTCCCTGTCTTGTGGTAGGATGCTAATTACCTAGAAATCGAACGATAGCAATTAAGTTTCATAGGAAGCGAGATCAAGCAGCATTGACAGATACCATTTGGCATAGTCGACGCAAATAACAGTTCTTAGTAAATTCCGACCGGATAAGTAATACCTCGTTCAAGAACGTCCCGTAGATTGACCTACTTTAGTAAATCCCTCAGTAGCACTGTCGTAAATCTTATTAATCGACCAAGTGAAGTTCTGCTTTCACATCATGAAATACAAATATTTCAAACCTTAACGGTCTCACCTCTTTTTTGAATGGATTTGTTATTGAAGAACTAAAGCGAGTATATTCTTACATCTTTTGCCGTATGTCAATAATTCGTTAATCTATATTGACTAGGTTATACATGCTCCTCATCTATTATTTAAATTATTTGTTCAAGTAGTGGACATTCTTTTCAATAATTACTGTGTCGACCTTTGTTGTAAGAACAAAATCTATTAACTATCTAGCTTTAGTTGTTACCAGTTACTTATCGACCCATTTGGCTATCAACCTAATAATGCTTCATTGACTTACTGCTGACTCTTTAATTAAAAATTTTCTAAGTTAAATCAACCAGATACAATGAATCTATTAGATTTAAATGCTATTTGATCCAAATTTTCTTGTCCCATAAACGTTCTACTTAATTTAAGCTTCAGTAAGCTCCATACAGAAAAGTATGTCAGGTTTTCATCTGACCGTTCAGGAAAATGACTTACTGTTAACTGATTTCGTACGTTCTACGCTCAATATATCCGTGGGTTTGAATATTCGTGAAACTGTTTAGTAATATTCCAAGTGATCTCACAATAAATCATTAAGTTATACTAGGTGAAAGACGCTGAGTAATCAAACTTCGACTCTTGACTACGTCTTGAATGCATAATATACAATCATAATCGTCTGTTTTAATGAACAAAGTTAGTTATCTAAAATGGTATGAGACGTAAATATGAATTAATAGCCAGCTATTTGGTCAGTTAACGATTAATGAGTTCATAAAATCGTCGGATTCATAGCTAGGTCAGTTGAATAATTTGTATTAACTAGTTCATAGATTTTTATCGAGTGTTTTCGTGTCTATCTGTTTCTGCATTCTTTTTTCTTAATTGTAACCATGTAGTTTTCAAATACTTTATTTTTGTACGTTTTTGAGTGCGGATCGTTAAGACTAGAAAACTACATCACGCTGGTCCGTCATAATGAAATGATATGAATTTTTATCGAATTTAAATCATGTGCCTCGTTATTTTATACATGGTTAGGTCGTATTTTGTCGTGTTGTTATTAGATACACTAATTATTTTCTCTCACACATTGTTTCTATTTGCCTTTGATTTTCACTAGGTTGCCCAGAAAAAAGGTTTACCACACGTTTTTTTACTGCCAACTTTGGCGATGGCCAGACCTGCATACTCAGCACGAGTTAAGACCTATCGCTACTTGTGAATATTCTTTCCAATCAAAACGCGATGAGGTTTGTATCAACCCTTATCACTATCGAAGGATTGAAAATCCAGGTTTGTATAAGATGTTTTGTTTCCATTCTCAACATTAGTTGCTATCTTTGAATAGGTCTACATCTTGTTTGTCTCCTGACAGGATCGTTCTCAGTGCACTCTTGAGCTCTCAAAATGCACTCTGACATGCAGTTGATTTACAGTGTTGGTTTTCAAAATATCATTTTCATAACTATCTCTCTTAAATGTTGTTTTGTTGATTGGTTATGAGATCGATAGTTCTATGAAGACCGACATTTGTGTTCGTAGTATCTTAATCGTACTCTATGGTAACTATGGTTCACTACTTGCATCATCACCAGTAGAACTTTATTAAAAACCATCGATTGTTTTCTGTTAAACTTTCAAAATAAAGTAACTGGAGGAAAACGTGTAGAGTATGTGCTAAAGTTTTCAGTTTTGTTTTTCGTGAATGTTTGTTAATCCAAAATTAGCACAGGATATACTTCTGTAATAAAATGATGGTTAATTAATTTATCAAACATCATATTGTATGGAAAATACACTCATTAAGTCAAAGGGTTTCATTTTCGGATATTTTGAAATGTTATATTGAAACACTTTCTCAGCAGTAATCAAATACACACTTTTTAAACATCGTTATCTAGAAATTACCATGTTTTTCGAATATACAGAAGTACAACCCCCTACAGCCTTTTTCGCCATTACGTCTAGTGGTCAGACTTATATGCCTGTGGTCCCAGTAGTACTTCATATTGTGGTAAGAAATCTGACTTAAGTCATCTATAAGTTAGTCTTCGCCGTTATATTACTATTCAAACTAACAGAGCTAATCATATTCACGAAATTCTCGACTATTTACGACTGCTCATCATAAAACGACAAACAGAAAAGCAGGTCAACTTCTCACGCATTTTACACGGTTTGAGCATTACGATGTGCTAGTTAATACTTTGAAAACAATTACTGACAGACTTATAACCTTACGAGTATCACATGCATTATATGCATATAGGTTTTGTATGCACATTTTTCATCTGTATTTCTGAATTTTTGCACTAATTATCCGCTTACTTTTTGTATCGTTTGATATTAGATTCTCTATCATTTATTAAGCATAAGAATTCCATTCCGCCCACTCTATACAAGCTTACACAGTTAAGGTTATATCATACAGTCATCAAATATTCTTTTATACTTTTATCATGAGCCGCGATAATCCAAAATATTGTCATCAAGTCTATTTGCTTACTTAGAATGTTTTTCGAAATAATGTTATCCCATGTCAAACGTTTTTGACAAGTAATACTCAGAAACTCATCTTATATATGTTTACATTCTCATTTCACATTAAAATGTTTCTTCTCAATATAACTATTTTCAGTAGCTAAACCCCGAGATATGAGCTCTTGTATTTCGGATAAAAGCTGGTTATTAGACTTAACAGGCAATAGTCATAAATGCCAGAAATTTAACTTATTAGAATCGACTAGCATTAAATTTCAACCAGTATGTCACAAGTCTGGTGCTTACTCCAAAGTGCACCAGTGTGAACAGCCAGTTAGTACTACAAATTCGCGTAAACTACGGTACTCAAAAGCTGTGTAAATAAACAGGACTGAAGAGGTTTATTGTCATTGTGAGTTTAGTTATATCCGTCTGTAGAATTTCTCGCTTTCTGTAGTATATTATCAATAATACTTGATTTCAGTTGTGTTCTATGTCATGTTCTATGCTATTTTTGATAAATTATCTTTATCTCATCACTAGACTCGTGAACCAAATTTAAATTGGTCTTGGTTTCATTAAATAATTTCATTGTTAGAATAAAACCGGATTAAAATGACGGATGATACTTTCCGTCATGTCTCTGTTTCCTCTTTTTGGTAATATTTAATAATTAAAACCTAGTGATCCATAAATGTTTTTTTCTGAAAATAAACCCATTAATTTTTGTCTATTTATAGTTCTCCCACCAATTATGGTTCCTCGTACAGTTAATAATGGGACTTCCGGAGTCAATAACGACAACACACATCGTGGTGTGACGGAATCATCTACTGAACGTTATGGAAGAGGTTCATCTTTTGGTTCACATCATTCTCGATACTCCTCTATGCACAATCAGTATCAACAAGGTCTTCAACAACAACATCATCTAAATGCTTTACAGAGTCATCATCCTTCCACTGCTGGACTAAATGATTCTATGATAATGGGAGATGATTGTGGTTCAGAACCAAATAGTTTAGCTGCACTCCTAGCTCCTCCATCTAAACAACCCAGACAACATCTTGCTACGGATGCTGTGACAGCTGCTGCTCTAGCCAGAGGTGATGCACTTGACGCGTATGCTGTAGCAAGTCGAGCAATAGCTGGTTTAGAAAATGTCGGAAATGTACTCGGTGGGACGCATCCACCATGTGTGAGCCTTCGTGAGGTAAATCATCCACCTAGTTTTAAATACTCACTTATATTTGCAAGTAGCTTATTACCCACATGGTATCAGTGCGTTTTATTTATCTCCTTGATAGTTGCTTATGTATTTCCGTATCAACATCAGTATTACGCCATGCATGTAGGTATCAGTTTCAGCAAAATACAAATATGAATGTGTGTGTAAAATAACCTAGTGTTGTAAATTTCATTCTTCTAACTGTAATACTACCACATTACTAATGTAAATTTCAGTATACTAGTGATCCCACAGGAGCCCCAGGCGTAGTTAAGGCAAAGATGAAACACTAGAAATAATTGTTTTGACGGTGGTGATAAACAAAAAATCAAAAGAACCGAATGAAATCGAATATTAAGAAGTATAAAATGATGCCCCAAATGTCCTGGTACGATCGAGGGTGGGGAGAGTCAACTGTCTCTCGAAATGCTCTCACATAGCCACGCGTATACAAACACTGCAAGGGAAGTCCTACTCACTACCTTCTCGCGGTGAGGGTGCTCTTTACGAAATCGAGAGGGTGCAAAACAAATGTTCGGTGCTTTAACCGGGTTGGTGGATATGGAGGATCCACCTAGGGAAGTTGGAAAACCATGATTTTAAACCAATGGTGCATATGAGCTCCAGGATCCCGAGGGAACCAAAAGGCGTATGAACCTAATGTTGGCCACCGGCTAGCATGGGACTGAATCTCCTAAAGCTGCTCCAGTGCCTTGCGGATCAGACCTTCAGGTCAAAGGCTCCGGATGTGGCCCCCTAATAAAACCACCTGCTTCGGTCTGGGCACCCGGGCACTATTGAGTTAACTGCTTCTATGAGTCCGGTGTTCGTCTTGCTGTGCTAATGAGGTGTGGCAACTTGGACCGATTCATGTGTGTGCTTGGCCCTACGTTGGAACTGACTGACTGACTCGAGCTGTATCTCAGCTCTCGTACAAATCGAATGACAAAGTGTGGCGCATATGTATCTGGTGCCCCCTTGTACCGATGTTTATGTGTTTAAATAAATAAAAATGCTAACACTCACTTTTAACAGAAATATGCAGAATAAATAGATTTCCTGCACCACTATGAATAATTTCGGTCCTCGACACCCAAAATCGTCAACCGTAGATTATGTTAGCCACCCAAACTCCATCCAAAAGGTCTTCATCTCTCCATATGAATGAGACCACTGGTTAGTGACTTCTTTGGCTGACACAATATATTACTTTGCACACCAGTCTTTTTGTTAACCTACTCCTATGCTAGCTAAGACAACATCGGAGTAAGCGTTAACTGAGAATGTTTAATAGTTTGAGCCACTTCAGTTAATGAAGGTTTACTGTTTTATCAGTCAACCTGCTATTCCTACCCAATAGGTTACATTTTGATTCTATAAGTAATTCGATGTAACTTTATTGAGTTTTTATGATGCATTCTGTAGACTGCTCATTTGAAATTATGATAACTACGAAAGAATATGTGTACAACATAAACAATAATCATTGTACTTGTTTACCGTAAACTGCTGAATACTATATTTAATCCTATATCTACAGGCTGCTGAAAATATGACTCTGGGTGGACCCCCCAATTTAGTTGGAACACCCCCAGCTCCTCCTCATACAGGCTATCAATCGTCTCTTATGAATGTAGTGTCCAGTCTTAGCGGTGATGGTCGTGATTTCGCTCGCAGTTTAGGTGTAGCAAATCACATTCACAATGCTACAACGAGGTTTGTTTTTTAGATTCTAGAATGCTTGTCTAATAAAATTCACTGAATATATATATATATATATATATATATATATATTAAGTTCAATTTTTTTAAGTTATTCGATTTTTGTTGTTACAAGATGATTTGAAATAGGATTTTGGCTAGATAGTGTCATGAAGATAGTAAAGAATTAATTTCTCAGACTTATTACAGAGGGTTGTTTTATTTTCCCTATATTTATATGGTGATAACTTTCACCATATATCAGTAAAATATCCATCTACCAGTTACAAACGCTGTAGGACCCTGTAGAAGTATATATCACTATATTTTTCATCCGAACATTGGGAGGAAAATTGACGAAGAGAAAAGCAGAGAGACAAAATAATATCAATCATAATATAGAACTAAAAAATATTCAAAGTCAATCAGACGATTAAGCGAATGACAAATGCCATTAACTAAAGGCTATCTTATCACGTCATTCAACCTAGATTTTAAGTAATAGCGACTTAAAGCCTCGTTTTAATTTAATTATTTTGCATGCTCTTATTATTCGTACATGTATGGTAACTGGAGTCACCATTGATTTTTTTATCGACTTTGAATAAGTTAACTGAGTAATCCAGACAAATTTTTAGGACACGTAAAGTGTGTAAGTGATTTATCTCTGCGCTTAATTGTAAATTGATTGAAATTGGAATTGTACCACCGGACGTCAACCAAGGGGTTCTGTTGGTTAGGAATTCACCACGACACATGAGGGTCTTGAGTCCAAATCCAATCACTGGTGGTATTTCGGGGCTCACTGCCGAGGAGTGTCATATTAGAAGAAAACAACTTCCCAATGATCCCTGGTTTCAGTGATACCTTGACTAAGATTAATCCATAACAAATACAACTTACGTATATGAGTAGTGTTTTTGCTGGTTTTTAATATGTAATGAATAAACTCCGTATTTTCTTTTTTATTTCGGTTTACCTTCCTATCTTTTCTTTTGTTCCACTGACTAAATTTGGAGACCAGGTGGTCAGATCATTTGAGTAGACTGAGTTTGAATCTCGTATTCTACGTTACAATAATGAATCTCAGAAAAAAATCATAAATATTTTATGTTCGTAATTTTTCGACTATGATTTTCATTTACATTCATATGAACTTCCATTGAATAGTAATTCTCATGTGAAGTAAATCGAATATTCTGTAGATTCATCAATTTTAATGTGAAGCTGTGGTATGCGAATAATCTATTGTTTTTAAGTCAGTTGTTAACCATAAACAGTATAAGATATAAGACAAGTTTACTGAATCAAAGCTTCCCATTTTCATATTAGCACACACACAGAGAGATAGACTTAGAGGAAACTACAAATCTAAAAAGCAAGTGTCAAAATAAATCAGTACAATCGTAAATAGAAACAAAATGTAGAAAATATTGAATTTGAAGATTAAACTTCAAATGAATAAAACATCTACAACATTGTAACCAGTTTTGAGTCATGTCACTTATAATCTCCGCTTTATTTATGTTGTTCTAGTTCATCAGAAATTCTAAATTTCTTCAAGTTCAATAATTATTTGGAATAATATATTTTTACCAAATAATTTAATATTTTTCTCACTAACGAAACAGAATTTTAGTTAATGCAGTCAGTCAGTCAGTAACAACGTAGGACTTCGTAAGTACATACATCAGTTCGAGTTGCCATACCACATTAGCACAGAGATACAGTTGTCGATTCAAATCCCGTAGTGGTAGAGGCGGTAAGAGTATAAGCAGTAATCGGGAAGATTAGGTTGTTCTCTGATCTCTTTATTTCTATACAATTCAATTAAGTTTAATTCTCTTTGACAAAAACTTATATTTACTGAGGAAGTACAAGCGTTTGACGAAGTTATCTCTTTTTCCAGCAATCTAAACCGTTAAGTATGCTTCTTGCGTAACTTCTATAATTATTATCTGAAGTGTCAAGTTTTTTTGCCTTCAAAAATATACCGTTGAACTTTTTTTAAATATCATAACTTTTTAGGTCACTTAGTATGGGTGATTATCCAATTCCTGTGTCTGCTTGCCAAGAAGATCGTTCTAATGATTCTCAGTGCCTAGGTCCAAATGCTGATAATTTGAGTTCAAGTTTTATGGGTCAATCATCATCAGTTTCTTCATCTACAACTCAGAAAGCTCCTAGTATTGCTGGTGCCGGCCCGTCAATAAACTCTCCTGGTACATTGTCATCAGTTGAAGAAAATTGTATCAGTGAAGATGACAATATGGATCTAGGTGTGTATTCATGCGTATAGTTTGTATGATAATGTGAATAAGTTTTAATACTTTTTTCATTCATTAACTTTTAATTGTAAATTTTGTTCAGAAGTTTTTATGTAACTGGTGTGAATTAATTTAACTTATTTACTACAGAGTACAAGTCTATGTATTCAGCTTTGAGTCACATTGTTCGCTTTGAGAGCTAGCGATACTACTTAACCGCCTAAACTGAAGTAGATGATGCAGGAGATTCAACCATTTATCTACTGATTTTGAAAGTGCAATGCTTTAACCATTAAATTACGCAGTGCTACACATGACTTTCAGTAGTGTCATGTAACAAGATTATCTCGAATGGTGTTAGAGGTGTGTGGTCGGTAACCACTTTCTGCATTGTGGAAGAAAACTAATTTGTCTCGAAAGGAAACTAGTTTAGTAGTAGTCTTGAAGACCTTATAGTTCGGCTACAGAGATCAAGGGGTCGTACATGGCTTATAGCACTACTACATTTCTTTTGTTCACTGACCATTATAGTAGTGAAAGTGTTCAACTTCAAACCATCATGCCGCAGGTCCAAACCGTAACTCAACTATTCTGATTCGTTTAGCTGAGTACATCAAGATTTATTTGGTTATTACTAAATTGTATTAAATAGCCTCTCACCCAACAAACATATATCTTTACTTCCTAATTTCATAGCTCATAGGTGGTTACTGAATTGTGTGTTTAATGTATATTTTTTGGGTACTTAAAAAAATGTCATCTTTCCATCCCATAATTAACTATGATTCATTCCCTGTAATATAAAAATATCATTAAAAAGTACACTTGGTATTTGTCATGTAGGTTTTCTGCAGTGTATTCACCTTTTTCTTGTGACTTAATTACTTTTTTTAGCTTCCCTAGCTTGCTATTATTATTATTCTCTACTCATAGATATGTCATAGCATTTTATATAGTTCCATTTTAATATTTAGGTATTTATCTATTAACTACTATTATTGTCGTGTTATTGCATATGTAATTAGTCCAGACCACATGTTTATTTAGGTGGGAGAGATATACTTCGTGTGTAGATTCTTTTCATTGGTATAAGAGAATGTTAATGATGATTGAATTGTGTTGACCAGTAGAATTTCAATTCAATCGTCTTGTAAGAAATTTATAGTCCATGAAACATGTGTACGCGCATATATATGTTTGTTGGCATGTAAGAGCTAGTGATAAATGAATTTAAACGGAAAGTTTACATTCTCTTCGTCTTTTGAGAATTTCAATTGATATCTAATAGTTTCATCAATGTGTACTAAAGTTTCTTGTCTGCATATGTATGTAATTACTTTTATAGATGACTTCAGCTATTATTTATGTAAGTGTATATATTTTTTGAACATGTTTTCTAGCTACGTGTTTTCATAATTAATTGGTGGTTTGGTGAAATATTTATTCATCGTACGAATGCACACTACTGAGTCGTTCCATACTAGGACGAAACGCCCTTACAGTTAATCCAGGTTCTCAATGGTGGTCTAACTAAATTTGATTCATGATTTCATTGATACGTTGAGACATATTAGTTTTGTTTGTATGTATGAAAAGTTCTAAAACTGGTATAGTAATGACAGGAATACAATAGCATTCCGAAGAGTCATTAAAAACGTGAAAAAAAGGATTGCACAGCTATTTTCATTTAAGTTCACAAACTGCCCCCTTAATCCCTAAATACATTCAACCTTCTAAGTGTGCGAGTGTAAGGTCTGAGTTCTTCAAGTAATTGCGTTGTTATGTTTACACCTAATAGTTTACAGTACTTAACACTATCAATCATTTGATTCTGTACAGTTTCGATATTATACAACAGTCAAGTTTATTTACCGTAAAGACATCTCTTGCAAATATTCATGTAACTGTACATTTAAATTTCATTGCAATAAAAAAACAGTAATTGTATTTACACTCCTTTCATATAGATTTTATTCCGTATTCTTGAATTGAGGTCTCGTCGTTTAATCTTTCTTGCTATCATTACTACCATAATTCTGTCGTTCTCTATGCTATTCATCATACGAATTTCATTTCGTTGTACTGATATGGTGCGGTGACGCGTACTGACGCAAATTTTCTTCCAGGCTTTACGTTGATTATGACTGACTGTATTTACACGATTGGGGTTAAATCCGAGCAGATTTAATTAGCGAATGTAAACATAACGATTTCCATTATACTTAAAGTTGCTTACCTTCAAATAAAACCCTTCACTTCATGATTTTGAAGTACTTACAAATAGTACTATAAATGCATAATATATTACACACCTTTCAATCTTATATTGAAATTTTTTTGTCATAAGAACATTCTAGTAGAACAAAGTATATTAATGTGTAAACTTAACCTATTTAATAAATCATATCATGTTTTCTCTGGAATATAAATGAACGTAACCAATAAACCTTTAAACAATTCTACTTTCTTTCCAGCTATTGATTTTTCACAAAACCATAGATTAATTTCTATTAGAGATTAATGTTTGTTTTCTCTTTAACTATAAATACAAAATAAAATGTCCAGGAATGTCATTAGACAATTTAAAAACTAAGTTACATAGAAATTGAAATTAAGCAGAAAAATCAGAAAAATTGAATGAAAATAGTATTACAACATGAAAATTAGAAATGATTAAAATCATCAAATTTAATTAAGAACGATACTTTTTCGGGGGATGGGGCGGGAGAGCGGAAACAATTTCATCATACAAGTTTCATAAGTCTATATGTTGCATTAAAAGCAGTTACTTGATAAGCTATTTTCTCACATTCATCTATAATATATATCTGAATAATTTTCATGTAGATATTAGCCTACATATATGTATTATTTTAGCATAGGTTAGTAAATATCTTCTACAATGTCAGTCTTTCCGTTCTTCCTATTCATATAGATTTCCATATAGACTACAAAGTCTTTTTCCTCAGTGAGTAATTCATTTGTGTGTTTTATTTTTTTTCAGATATGTTAAGTGATGTTCTTATTGATGGGAATGAAATGACTTCAGTAGCTTATCAAGAACCTGAATATTGGTGTTCATTATATTATTATGAAATGAATACTCGTGTTGGAGATACATTTCATTGTTCTAGTCCATGTTTAACTGTTGATGGTTTCACCGATCCAAATAGACATAATCGTTTCTGTTTAGGTCTATTATCCAATGTGAATAGAGGACATCAGATTGAGCTAACTAGAAGGCATATTGGTAAGTTGACTATAATACACTAGATATTTGTATGTTTAAATACAACGTATTACTTAGTACTATAGAAAATTTTACCAGTGTGTTTTAGTACTTGTGATCAACACAAACGAAGCAAGTAATGAGAATGCATAATATAATTATCTATTAGAATAATAACTTCAAGTTACTAATGAGTACGTAGAGTGATTAAAGCGCTCGGTTTTCAATCACTAGTTCTTGAATTCAAGCTCCGCACCACTTCGGTTTAGACAACCGGTTAGGCATCATTGGTCCCCATATTCATGTACCGGGAGTATATGCTAATTTGAATGAACCAATGAGTGATTACAGGACAAGAAAGTAGGCTATGATTAACGTAAGTACCACAAATTTTCATCAGTTACACTTGAAGTTACGGCTTACCAATGTTTTCTGATATATGAATCTCAACATTTCCAGTAAATTTTTTAATCCAGTCGACATTCTGCACTTGGTTAGTAGAACTTCATAAATGCATAACTTTGTTTTAATTGTTGGGATCATGAGTCGCTTGAAGTTAGACCACCATGGAAAACCTCGAAGCACTGGACGGCCGTTTCCTATTGTGGTGCTCCTCAGCAGTGCTCATCCACGATCTTGCCTCGCGGGGTTAGAACCCAGGACCTACTAATCTCGCGCACGAGCACTTAACCACTAGACCACTGAGCCGGTATTCAACAGTGTTAATGTCTAACTTCAACTAATCCACGAAATTGAGCGACACACCCACCATTGTCATCAGTGAGTTACTATCTCACAACAGACCCGGTTGAAATCCACTGGTCACTGCCTCTCACTAGAACTCCAGGATATACAACTTGAAGCCAGTCACTAGTGAATGATATGTTGATTATTATCAGAAGGGGGTTTTGGCTCATGATCTCAACAATTGAAGTTACTAAAATCTCCACAAAACCTCCTGATAATAATCATTTTGTTATTGAAACCTTATTTCTTACAACGATACGGCTCAGTCGATGTTGTTACTGTTTATAATCCTTGATAATATTTTGATAAACCCTCATCTACTGAGGTAATTTATATATGACTAGTATTATATGTGCTACTCTAATCCCTTCTTCAATAAACATATTAGCTCAGTAATAAGTTAGCATGAAGAAACCCTCAGAATGCCAGATACTATATGTAGTAGATAAACTATACCCTAGTTGTGGTCTGCGCGATAGTCATGATCAAATATTGTGAAGGCCTTAGGTGATATAGTTCGCATTCAGTTGTAGTAAAGCAGATTCATCTATTCTGTATCTTGCTTCCGAAATTTCGCGTTACAATGTTAATGTACAATTGTGACTATGTTCAGAAATTTAAGTAATGTAATTTAAATACAGAAAGATTTTAAACTCTGTTGACTGAGATGTTCGATAAACACAACATTCGTCAGTTTACACTGTCCAAGGATTTTGATAGAAAGTGAAGGGGAAGTGATCAAGTTGGGCTATTCCTCTCAACTTAATCTTACACGTGTTCGAAATAATTCATAAAATATGTTGGAAGTAGTAGCAAATACACACTAATTGTTATCACACACTACGTAACTCACTTTTGAGAACGTGTACGACAATCACTTTACTTTACGATAAGTTAAGCCTATATCTTTCAGACTAGGTGATTTATTATTTTTTTTATCCCTCGTTAAGTTGATCGGTTACTTGCTGACTAAACAGCACTGAATAGTAGGATCAATGATAATGCAATAAATATTCCTAATAAAATATTGTTGCGTTTTTATAAGCCATTGGTGAACTTACTATCAAATCTATAGATTGCTTCACTGACACTGGGCTTGTTGCTGTTTGTTACTTAGATGACCTAAAGACCCTGCATTTACCAGATGTTACTATCAACTTTAAGTAAGCAGTACATGTTGACCACCACGTTACTTTTGTGAATATTTTGCACCCATTACTCCTAACCTGTAGGAATAGACTGTAAAACTAGATAATTTGTAATGAGCCAATGAAATTTTAATGTTTTTTTTATTGTGCGTTTAGCAAAGTCATAAACGTCTTAACTTTTTAATGGCATATTTAAATGCAAACATTGCTCGTATATGCTTCTTGTGAATAATCAAGTAGGCTATCCAACTTACGTAATTTGATCAAAAATGATAAGTATTTTATTCATTTGTAATGGTTATAGTTGGTTTTAAGAAGTGTCACGATATTTTTGTGCTTGAACTAGAACAAACAGTATTCTCGGTGGAGTTTCCTCTTGCAATATAATTTCTCAGTAACAAATTGTAAATGTTTATTAATGTGTGAATACTTCTAGGGTGAGATTACATTTTACTTTATCCTTAGTCATATTAAATCTTTGAGAATAAATCTTGAAACATCGTTATTGGATCTTATATTTAATTTATCCTTCTATTTTAGTTAGTGTTTATAGTGCTTGACAAACATTCATTCACAATTCATTTACATGTTTATTCGAACATTTAAAATGTTCGAATTGTTTTTATGAATTAATGATCCAACACTTTAATTAATGTTCTCCTTATTTGTTATTGTTTGGCTTTCGGAAGTTTTTTTTTTCATCTTCAACTGTCACATTGATTTTTCTCACATTCAGTCGGTTGAATTCGATTTCATATAAAGAGATAACAACAAATAGTTTATTTGATCAATCCATTTTTAGCTTACTTCTTTCTCATCTTTTTTTTGCCTCTCGCTATCCTGTTTCTACGAAATAAAACAAAACAAAAGTTTTCTACTTCTACCCAAAATGTGAACTGGGTGGTGGGTAAAGTTGGGAAATCGACATCTTGAAGCTGGTACTTACTGTTTTTATTGATTTTTCTAACAGATCGATAAGGAGTGGAATGTGATTGAAAAATATGTATGTCAATATAAATCGATTTATAGGTCAAGCTTACTATCCAGTGTGTCCTTTGAAGTTAATGGTTGTGTGTGTGTACATACATGTGCGTTTGTGTGTGTGTGTGTGCTAGTGAATGCAGTCATTTACGATCGAAATAGTTAAGTGATGGAAGGTTTTCTAGGCTAAATAAAGCAATAATAATAGTCGTGTATCGTTGTTTCTTTTTTATGACATTTTTAATTGCCAAGCTTACTTTCCAATATCTGTTGTGTGTTATTTATAGATTATTGGTATGTATATTTATAACACAGTAACCAGTATCTATTGTTACTTGTATAATACATTTCTATTAATTATTTGGTTTTCATTTAAGCTACATTTAATATTAATTTCTTTTAAAATTTACTCTTGGTTAGTAACTGTTATTATTGGCTAGTTTCTCAACCTGTAGTGATTGATATATATAAGAAGTTCAAAATCTAATAAAAAAAAATTATTTCAGACGTGTATATGTAGGTAGTTTGCCCTTCTCTCTTTATGAGATTATAAATTATTAGTGTAAGTAATAAAAATTAACTTAAGCCAAAGTTCATTATCATCATTTCACTCTTACCAAAATTACCTTATATTCAAAATATTTGATTTCCTTGTTTAGATAATATGCAGTTCTACTAACTAGATTACTGTTTTACTGTATAAAATGTATTTTTCATAGATTTCTAAATGTGAATAGCTAGTATAGTAAAATAATAAGCTTTTAGTTGGCTTGGTTACTGTCATGTAATTAATGCTAGCACTGTTTGGTAGTTGGAGCCGATCACTAGGATGCCCTGTGTCTAAATTTCATGCTAGTTGAAATTACCTCAGTAATTTTTGTTTGCACTCTTTAGGAAACTGACAGTCGAATCCGTATTAACCACTATCACAATGAAATATGTTATTAATTAGCTATTCAGTCCTTCTATAAAAGTGAATAGTAAACGGATTTCATATTATCTGTTACGTGATACTGATCAAGTTCTGTCAATAAAGTTGAGATGGGTTCACTACTGTGAATAATTTTGCTTTGTAATGCACAGTAATTTGAAAACGCTCGAAAGGAGCTATTAGCACTACTCACTCTTTTTTATATAACATATTTACAATGTACACTTTCATTTACGTGGCTCTGAACAACATTTTTGTCTATACGAGCTATTAATACTACCCCCTGAAATAGTTAGACCACGATTCGGACTATTACGTAGCTGTGATGTTGCGGATTGTTAACTCATAGTTTTGTTTCAATTTTAACAGTAAATTTATGATTAATTATAATAGTTTTTATTGTAAATAAAATGTTACAAAAGATTGCATATTTGATTACATTCATTCAATTTCTTTCATTCCATAATACCAGAGGTATTCATTTTCAATATTACTATTGGGACAGATTTATATGAATATTCTATATTGGGTGGTGAATGTAGACGATCGATAAATTGTGACCTTTTTTCATGTTTATTGTTCCTTGTCTTGATTACTACTATATTTTCTTCTTCTTCTTTGAAAATAGGTAAAGGTGTTAAACTTTATTATATTGGCGGTGAAGTGTTTGCAGAATGTTTAAGTGACAGTGCTATATTTGTACAATCTCCTAATTGCAATTATATGTATAAATGGCATCCAGCAACTGTATGTAAAATTCCACTGGATGTAATTTAAAAAATATTCAATAATCAAGAATTTGCTAATCTTCTTACAGAGAATGTAACTAAAGGTTTTGAAGCTGTTTATTCACTAACAAATATGTGTACTATACGAATGAGTTTTGTCAAAGGATGGGGTGCTGATTATCGGTATGTTCAGTATCCTATGCAATATTATCCAATATTCAAGTGATTTTACATGAGGTATATTTTATGTATGAGATCTGTTGATAATATTTGACCAGATCATATCTGATACCCATGACATGGTGGTTGATTTCAGCTGTCGTGATAATTCAGTAGGACTGTTTGGCTGGAAATCTCGTTCCTTCAAGCTGATAGGAGGGCAGCACTTGCTAAACGGAATCTATTTAGGGTTCAATAACGATATCATACTCCTGGTTATAGTAATGGATGGAAGCATTATAGACGACCGGGTGTCAATCACTCACACACTAACGCTACTGTAGTAATTTTTGTTCACTATATCCTCTTTTTTAATGACTATGAGTGTAATTGTATTGACCGAGAACACAAACGGGAACAGACAAATGTATTTAAACACATAATTACAGAACATCTTAGTAAAATCTGAGAACCATAAAGTGAATACTTCATTTGCAAAATGTCAATCAATCATCTCAGACTTCATCGTTCATTCGTTTGCACACCAATCATTCTATGTTCTCGTTCTCTTTTCTTCAATCTTCTTAACCTTCTACCTCCAGTCATTTCACTTTCGATTGATGTTACATGCTATTTATATCTGTCGACACACCACATAATTATTAGTGTTAAAAGAGACCTATCTGTGTATAACCGGAGATAGAATTAATTACTACTGCTCATATAGAACTGGATGTTTAATACATCATTGTAAGTAGTTCTTACTCGTGCTTGACAAGTTTGGTTTTCTGTGATTGAGGATTTCTGATGATTATCTATGTTCGATTCATACATTCCTTAGGTTTCTAAAGATAAACTCAAAATCCATATATACCAACAAAGACTGGTCAAAATTAAGTCATAAATGCCAATAGAATAATTCAAAACCTTGCTAATAATAATTTCAGGAAAATCTCTGTTGATTTCTTATTCTTGTTATTATTTTCATACAATTTCACTTCATTCACTTACCCTTAACTTTATTCTTTCCTTTTTTGTGGAAACATTTTTGTTACTATATTGTACTAAGTAATTTTCACATCAAAATTAATTCAATGTTATTTAAAAAGAAATAAGTAAAAACTATACAATGCAAATTTTGTTAATAGTAATTTGTTTAATATTTCAAATAAACAGTCTTGATCTTTGAATCTTTCACTTTCTTTAAGAAGACTGTCATGACCGGTGTTTTATGTTCTTTATTCAAAATACGATTGAATTTTAAGTTTAAATATTCGTTTAAATAATACTCATTGTTGTTTTACTTAAAGTGTATACATCATAAATTGTAGACTATCTCCTCTTTGTTTCTAGTAGTATGGTAGCTATATAGATCGTCATCTTATTTTCATTAACTAAATTCCTCTATCATTGACTAGCTGGAATTCATGAGGATAATTAGTTTACTTGTTTACTAAGTAAGTGATCCCGTAAGCACTATTCAAGTTAAAAACGGCGGATACTTCGCCGATCACATCTACGTATTTTGTTAAGTGTTATTTGTTGTACAAAGTTAATGAGAGTTTTGAGATAGGAAAAGATATATTGTCTAAAAATAATCAGCTTAGTTTTTAATATCTGCCTACAGCTACACCGACTATTCGCCTTCATTATTCAGTTTTTTCTTTTTTGCTTGATAATGTTTTATCCTTCCTCTACTAACTTACCCTCTGTGAGTGCGGCGTCACTATTTTGTGTGTATTCACTTACCGTCTTACCTACTTTTTTCTTATTTTCAGCCGACAAACTGTAACTAGCACTCCGTGTTGGATCGAAATTCATTTAAACGGACCTCTACAATGGCTTGATCGTGTCCTTAGTCAAATGGGCTCCCCAGATCATCCTTGCACATCTGTCAGTTGAACCGATGAAGCTATCCATTATTTATTAATTATTCTTATGATAACTGTTAATGTTCAGGATAAATTATCTCTTGTCAATAGTATCTTTTCCGACGTCTTTCGAATACCTCCTAAATAAAAATAAAAAACAATTATTGAATACTTATTAATATTATTGTTATTCCTCTCACTGGATTTCAGGCTGCCGACGACACTTCTAACTTTAATCCAAGTTCAATTTGTCCTCAATTACAGTTGTGTGTTGTCACTTGATTATTATGTCACTATTATTTTAAATGTTTTAATCCTTCTGAATGCAAGTCTATAATGTTAGATTAATGCCAAATATTCATTGATGACAATTTGACATTGATTATGTATTTCTTTACCTCCTTCAACGTACCCTTCCGATTGTCACCATTTTCTTTTATTCCGTTTTTAATTTGAAAACGTGAATAAGAAATTCTTCGCCACACTGTCTTACGCATTATTATTATTGATGTTTTTTTATTTCTGTGTAGTTAATCATTCCATGTTGTTTGTAGACTCTCTATATATTAACATATTACCCTGCTTATTTATTACTGCCTTAATTCCTCTTTGGTTTTTTGTAACACCAGGTACTTTATTTACTTCATTTTATGTCAGTAATGATGTTCAGACAAATAGTTCTTTCCCTTATTGTTACTGTCATTGTCATTTTATTTGTATCATACTTCCTCAGTTGAGAATAATGTCTTGCACAATTGTCTCGTTTTTAAGAATAACACAATTGTATCCGTTTATCCTATGTCCATTGTCGACAACACCATCTTCATCGTTATATTTGTTAGCAGGTGTACATGTTTAAATGGTTCATTGAAAATTGTCTCTTTTACGGGAATTCTTTTGTTTTGTTTCCTCATTAGTGAGCGCCGTAATTTTCCAGTGGGTTTTTTATATGCTACTGAATATCGTCACTATTATTATTATCATTGTTGTTACTATTAATGTATGCTTATTTTATCTTTAACAACTACCCGGTTAGCGGTGGTCTGTTTCACATGGGTTTCTGTATGATATATATATATATATATATATATATATATATATATATATATATATATATAACCCACTCATTAATTATTATTAAGTTTTCCTGTTGCAATTCAGCATTTTTAGTTGGGAATCAACTACCATGACTATTCTATGTTACTTTTTGTTGGATTTTATCTTTTTTTTTTAGAGAGATGGTGTCGGTCATTGTTCACTGTACTTTTAAAAGAATCTTTACGTGTTCTGGTCATTTTTCTTTGTTATCATTACTGAACTTTCGCCTTTTTTACATTTATGTATGTCTAATGCGTAGTAAACTGTCAGAAATTTGTTTGCTTCTTTTCATATCTCCTTTTAATCAGTGGGGGCGGCAGTTGATAATAATGAATATTATCCAGTGTTTGTAATTAATTTAGCCCGATGTTTTGTCAAATATTTTTTGTTCTATTACTTGAAAACTTCTATACATACGTATGACAAGTTATTTTGGCTCATATATAAATATATTAACCTAGTTTCCTTTAACTATGTTCCTTTTCAACCTGATAATAAATATAACGTTGATAAAGAAATTTAAAATTGTCTATTAGGTTGTACTATACTTTATTTCTAAGAGATATCGAGTAACTTTTGCGTCAGTGTTTTACTCTATTCTCTCTCTATGTGTCAATGTATGGTTACCTTTGGTGTTATATTTCATGGCTAATGGTTTTATTCATGAAAATGTTCGTGGTCGAAACTAACTTGTTACTTAGATAGACATCAGTTATTCTCTGATTCAGCATACTTGTATCATTTAATTTTCATTATACAGTAATTTTATGAAATTTTCATTTTAAACTCCAAAATTACTTTTCCACACCATTTGTGTTAGTTGTCTATTAGTCGAAAATCGACCAAATTTAATTTTGTCTAAATAATGATATATATTCAATTGGAACAACAATTGAAACTACAATAACAGTTATGACACCGGCGACAGTGTTGGAGTCCAAATTAAAGTAACTAATAATAAATTTTCTTACTGTAACTCTGCTCCGTATGCAATCATGTTTCAGTGTGTTTCACGAATCGAGTTACTTTATATCTCACATTACATTCATTAAAAGTAAAACTCCAAATAATCTAGAGTTATCGCTAATGAAGAACCAGTCTTTTACAATAAGAAAAGGTATGGTGGATCATTTGATTGTTTAATTGAAAATGATAGTTTAATAACAGCTGACGTCTGTACCTCATAGGTTACGGCAGTGATTGTCTTCCATCATCTACTGCTTAAAAAGTATTCGAAAAATGTAAGTCAAGAAGATTATTCAATGTAGAAGAAAAATTTCGAATTCAGCGTTTCCGTCAGTTCTGTTTGAATAAAATAGGAAACTGGATAAACGAACTTAGCACCGTAGAGCAACAGTTTTTTACCGTTTACCTGATTTATTTATGCTAAAAATTATCATGTGCTCATTAGTAACTAAATTCTACAGGGAATTCTCGGAGTTCTAGTGAGAGGCTGCGACCATTGAAGTTGAACCGTGTCGGGTGAGAGGTCTGGAGGTTTAGTGTTAGCGTGAAACCAAAGTTAGTTCGTTGGATTCCTGGTTGAAGGTATGTGGATACGTAGTGCTGAGGAGTTCCATACTAGGGCAAAACTTTCGTCCAATGCTTCCAGGTTCCCACTGGTTGTTTAACATTGATTGATTTATGATTTCAGTGAAATCCAACAATCTCCGCAATGATTTATTTAATTTGATGACATTTCATCATCAATGCCTACTGTCCATTTTCGTATGTTATGTATATACTGTTCTCCAGGTTTTATCTTTTCATCCTTCGTAAAGTTGGACTGTACCGCTAGATAACCTAGAGATGTCTGTCCACTTGACCAAACACAAAACATCAAAGACTATTGAATATTTTATCTTATCACGATATTCTTTCATATGTGTCGTTACAAAGTATTCTAACATTACAGATTTTATTAATCTTTGATGAAAACCCCAACTCTATATTATATTTGGACTATGATCTCAAAGTGATTTACACGTCTATTATTGGCTCAGTGGTATAGTTCAGCTTCATCAGAAAGCTAGAAAAATAATAATCAATTATAATTTGCACTTGTTTAATTTAAATTGTCCTTGTTACTCAACTGTAAGTATTGTCACTTATACACGTACGTGTGTGTGCCTGTGTACCTATACCGTGAAAGGTCATGGCTGTTATAATAACATGAATACATCGTCAGTCTTATTTGTTCTTTCCTTTCTATTAGGCTTATTTTAATTTAATTATTCATATCCCTCCCACTGTGTATGTGTGTAAATGTTTACCTTGACCTAGAATTTATCCGATCGTCTAGAGTTTTTATTTGTTATATGTGATTAATCTAAATTATAAATGATGTCATATTCAATTTATTATGTATGTCTGTTGCTTGTCTATTCTTTTATTCATTCCTGTTTAGATGGAGACAAATGAATGCTTTTTGTAATTTTGTTTTGAGGTCGTTTTTATTACATGTAGTGGATAGTTGATAAATAAATGAACGATGAGGTCAAAGTTAATATCTCTGTATACTAAATATAAAAAAAATTTCTCACACATCTTTCAGTTGGATACTAAATTATCTAGATTTTATTTTGTGTTAAACCATGTAAATATAAAATGATTAGTATGTAAATGAGAAGTTGGTTTAGTTTTGCAACAGATTCACAACTGTATCGTTTAATTCAAATGATCTTGCTTTTCGTTGTTAAAAACTATCAATGAATATTGTTAAATAGTACATTCTTAAAACAGTATTTTTTTCTCCAAAATGTAATGATCCAATATCGAATTATCAATATAGGGTTGGGCAGATTACGGATCGATCGAAGTTAGAATGTCACTGAAAATATGAAAGCACTAGACACCAGTTTTGTCTTAGTGTGAAACTTGTTAGCAGTGTATGTCCATAGTTCTGCTATTGGGAATCAGGAGCATTTGGTTTTGCTTTGTGATCTCAGTGAAATTCGTCAATCTATATAACTTTACACAGCTATCATGTGCTCACTAGTGATCAACTTCAAGAGGAAATTCCTTGCGTTCCAATGAGAAGTCGTGACGAGTGGAAATAAGCCGTGTCGGGTGTGAGGCAGTTACCTGCTTAAGGTAATAAAAGATGGTAACACGATATTGTGGATTGGTTGAAGTTACACATTAATAACGCTGGATGCCAACTCAATGGTCTGGAGGCTAAGTGTTCGAGTGAAACCGAAGTTTATTTATTGGATTCTTGGTTGGGGTTATGTGGACGCGTTGTGTTGACGAGTCCTATACTAGGACAAAACGATCGTCTAGTACTTCCAGGTTTTCAATAGTGGTCCAACATTGATCTGTTCGTGATTTCAATACGATATTAAATCATCTAGAATATGCTGCCACCTTGACATGGTGGTCAGGCTTGCCTATCGTAATGAACCAATTGTTCCTCAAGGTTCTATCATGCCAGATAGGTCAGTTGAACTGATATAAGACTAAAAGCAGCAAACCCAAGTTCGAGGGTGAAAGTCGTACTTCCAAATGTACAGATGTGTGATGACAGTAAGGTGTTTCCTTCATACAACTAGCATAACGGCGATGCTGCCTTCCCATGCGGAAAGGTGGGGTTAGAAACGGTCGACCTCGCTTTATCTCACGGATTTCCGTCTCCGGCGGTAAGGCTCAACAAGTACGGAGCTAACACGAAAATTACTCACAAAAAGGTCGTGTGTGACCGGCCTCAAGCATTTGTCCCTTGGGAACTGTGGTCACTAAGACTAACTCTAAACCAATTTTCTTTTTCAGGTATCTTTAGGATGTGAGCGACCGGGAAGTGATAACCGCACCCATACCTCTAGCAGCACTCAAGACCACTGTATTCAATCCCTATTATTCCTCCTTCGTCGACTTTCAACCCCTGACTTCCTCCTCTAGTGCCACTATGGCCAACGATTCTAATGCGCAAAACAC